CCCCCCCCCCCCCCAATCTTCCCCCCTCCCGCCGCTCCCGCGCTCCCACCGCGAGCTGCCCCCCGTCCCCCCACCCCGGGACCCCCCTCACCGCCCCCGCCCTCCCCCGGCCCCGCTCCCCCTCGGTCACCGGTGCAGCAGAGCCGGGCGCTCAGGTACCGCCGCCGCTCGGGCTCGGAGCCGCCGCTCAGCCAGTCCCCGGCGGGACCGGGGCCCGACATGGCCCCGCCGCTCCACCGGAAGGGACGGGACCCACCGACCACCGACCAACCGACGGACCCACCGCCGGGACCGACCGGCGGCACCGGGCGGACGGGACGGGCGGGGGGGGAGGGACGGGCGGCACCCGCCCCGCTTCGCCCCGCCCTCCCGGCGGCCCCGGCTGCGCCACCACCCGCAGCACCCGGGGGGACCGAGGGGACCCGGGGGACCGGGGGGACCCGGGGAGGACACCCCACCCTGCACCCCAGGGAGACACCCCGCTCCGCAAACCGGGAGAGCCGGGGGGGGCACTCCGTCCCCGCTGCCCCGAGGGGTACACCCCGTCCCTAAAACCCGGAGGGACCCGCAGAGAAACCCCACCCCGCACCCCGGGGCGATCTCCGATCAGGACCCCTCCTTCCGCACCCGGGCCTGCGGTGCTGGAACCCTGCGCCCCTGCCCGCACCCCTCTGCCGGGCACCCAGTACTGCAGCCACGGGGCACCCCGACATCTCCAGCACCCACATCCCGACCCCTTACCCCCACGCAGAGCTCCAGGGGGGCGGGGGCAGCTCGTGCCCCCCAGCACCCAAGCCTCACTTCAGCACCCATCCCTTCCAGCTTCCTTTCCCCACAGGTCCCACAAAGGGTCCCCGCGCCGAGGGGAGCCCTCAGCGTGTTTTCCGGGGGGTCCCCACGGCACCGAGGACCCCCGAGCTGCAGGGACCCCGTGCGCCCCCCCGCCGCGTCCCACCATCCCCGCCCCGAGGCCAGAGGAGACCCCAGGCACAGGCAGGGCCGGGCCGAGCTGTGCCGGGAAGGAGCCTGCGAAGGGGAAGGGGGTTCTGGGGGACGCCAAGGAGGAAACACCCCCCTCCGACCCCCCGGCCCGCAGGTCACCTGCTCCTGGCCCGCAGCAGCACCCGCAGCAGAGCGCGAAGCCCATCGCGCGTCCCGGCCCCGGCGCCCCCCGCCCTGCTCGGCGTCCGGCCGCGTCTGGTGGGAGCGCGGCGGGATCCGTGCCCGGAGCGCGGCCTGAGCCGCGGCCAGTGACTCACACAGCCCACGGCCTCCGCCAGCCCGGCTCCTCCTGTTCCCAGGCAGCGTGGAGCCCACCCACGGCCGCTGCGCTGGGAGCCCCCGAGCCAGCACGGCCGCGGGCAGAGCGCAGCGGGCAGCCGGGACAAAGCCGGAGGGGCTCGGACCACCTGGCACGGGCATGGCACGGGCATGGCAAAGCACAGGCATGGCACGGGCATGGCACGGCACAGGCATGGCACGGGCATGGCACAGCACAGGCATGCCATGGCACAGGAACCCTGGTCAGGGAGACACCCAAGCGGTTCAGAGTGGGCTGCAACCCCTGTTATCACCCGGAGTGCTGGGGGGCTCCTGGAGCTGGGCACATCCCTGCCAGAGGGAGCACAGAGGTCTCAGGAGGATCTCAGGGGGTCTCGGGGGTCTTATGTCGAAACCCGGCACGGCAAAAGCCATCCAGGACGAGCCAGGCCAGCAGCAAGGCCGAGGTGTGGGGGCTGGGCACGGCAGAGCACGGCATGGCACGGTGCCGACCCACGGCTCAGCCCCACGGCAGTGGCCGCGTCCCATCTGTGCCGCAGAGATAAGGAGCTGGGGGCAGCGGGGGGGGGGGCCGGCCGGCGTGGGTAGGGCCCGGGGGGCGGGGAACACCGCCTGGAACGGGACACGTGTCCCGCGGGATGTGCGTGCCACGCCCGCCACGCTTCCCGCACACTGCCACGGCTCCAACACGCTTCCCACGGCTCCAGCGTGCTTCCCAGGGCTCTGACACGCTTCCCACGGCTCCACCATGAAGGACGTGGGACAGTGCCGGGAAGAGCCTCCCCATGGATGCCAGGGGCGGTGCCGGGGGGACCGTGCTGGGGGAACCGTGCCGGGGATGCCCGTGGTTGCCAGCCACGGCCCCTCGAGGCCGGTGAGTCATGGCTGCGGCCAGCAGCAGCATCCGATCCTCCCGGCCTGGCACAGCCAGAGCCGCCAGCGCGGTGGAAAAGCTGAGTGGAGCGGAAAGGGGGGGGACAGGGGGGTTCCCAAACCTCTGGGGCCCCCCTCCGCCCACTGCCGCCACGTCTCTGGCAGCCTTGGAAACCGGAGCGGGGCCAAACAAACAGCGGTATCCTGCTGCCAAAACCAGCCGGCGCCGCCACCAGCCCGCCAAGCCCTGCCGCGGCGGGGCCCCCCCCCCCCCCCCCCGAGCCCCCCAGGCACGGGGATAGAGACACAGACAGGAGCCCTGGCTGGGCCGTGGTGCCCCTTGAAAACACCCGCCCTGACACTGCCGAAACTGCCCCCGAGAGCAGCTGGTACAGCCCCTCATTGCACGGGGCAGCCCCCCGCGGGTACTGGGCAGCCCCCCCGCAGGCATCAGGCAACCTCTCGTGAGCACCGATCAGCCTCCCGCGGGCACTGGGCAGCCCCTTGTTGGCACCCGGCAGTCCCCACCCCGACCCCTCCGTGGGTTCCAGGAGCAGCGCTCAGAAACAACCCCACTGCCCTGGCGAGGCACAGCCCAGCACGGAGGGAGACCACCGGTGGAAACCCCCCCGAGCGATTGCGGAGGTGCAGACCCCAGCACCACCGAGAGCGGCCGGTGCTGCCGGAGCCTCCTGGCATCCCCCAGCTCGGGGGGGTCGCGGCGCGGCGGGATGATGGGCCCCGGCAGGTGCGACCTTGGGGGTGCCCTTCGGACTGGGCCGGCGCCAGGGACAGCGGCCCCCCCCCGGCAGGGGCAGCCAGGGCTCCAGCCCGGCCAAGGTGCCCTGCCCGCCTTATCTGGCACCGGCACCGGCACCGGCCGCGGCCTCCGCGGCTCCCGCCGGCCACGGGCCCGGCAGTGGTTTCGCAGCGCGGCGGCCGCGGGAGCGGGGCCGTCCCGGCACGGCCGCGTGACAGCGCCCGGTGCCGCACGCAGATCGACGGAAACCGCAGCCAACGCCCTGGAAAGTGCCGGGAGGGGGGGCCGCGGCCGCCGGCAGCGCCCCGGCAGCAGGGATGGATGCAGGTGGCCGAGTCCGCGCCGGTGGAGGGTGTGGGGGGGTCTCATGGAACCCCCAGACACCAGCCCCCACTCGGCCCTTCCCGGCCCCCCCTGTCACCAGATCCCTGTCCCCAAAAATATTTGGCACCCTCACACCTCGGGATGGGGATGCTGGGGGAGGGTTTGGGCAGCCGCCCCCGCGCCGAGGGGCTGCTGCCGGGATCCCCACTCCTAATGGTGTCGGGGAGGGGGGGGTGTCACACTCCATCAATGCTGAGTCACTCCCGGGTACCACCTGGTGCTGCATCCCGCCCCCCCACCGGGATGTTCCCCCACGGCAGGTGAAGAGCTCCCCAGAACCCAGGGCAGCAGGTCCCTCCCCTCGTCCCTCCCCCCACGGGCGGTGAGTCCCCCCTAAAGCCCCTCGGGACCCCCACCCACTCAGGAAGCAGCGGGGCTGCAGGTGTCGAGCCGCTCCCCCCCTCCCCACGGCGGGTGGGCGGGGCGAGGGGCAGAGCCGAGCGGAGCCGGGGGGGCCGAGGGAGGACCGAGGGGAGTCGAACTCACCGGTGCCCCCCGGCTCGTCCCGCCGCCGCCGCCAGTACCAGACCAGGGCGAGGGATGCTGCGTGTCCCGCCGCCACCAGCGACGGGAACAGGGACCCGGTGTCCTCCATGCGGGACACGGGACGGGCTCGGAACCGGCCGGGCTCGGCGGGGCAGGGACGGACCAGCGCCCGCCCCCCCGGGGCAGCGCCCGCTCCGCCTTAACCCCTCCCGGGCCGCGGCGCGGAGACGCCTCCTGCCCGCCGCACCGGCACGGCCCCCCCGTGTCCCCCCCCTGCCGTGTCCCCCCCCGCGTCGTGTTCCCCCCATCCCGGCTTTTTATATCCCGGGACAAGCGCCCCGGCGGCGCCAGCCCCCCTGTCCCTGTCCTTTCCGCAGCCCCCCCGGTCTCACCCACCCGGTACGACCTTCATGGACAAGGCAGGGTGCGGGCAGGTGCGAGCAGGGTGCGGGCAGGTGCGGAGCGCGGAGCGAGGGCACAGCGCGGCTCCGCCGGTGGCGGTGGGGGCGGGGGGGGGCGGGCAGGGAGCGGGCGCCGATATAAATAACCGGGGCCCGTCACCGAGCCCGAGTTAGAACATGACACGGGTGGGGGCGGGACGGGGCGGCCGCGATGGCACCTCGGGACCCCCGGACCCCCCAGCACCAGTGGGGGGGGGGTCACGCTACCGCCACCTCGGGGGGCGTCGTGACACCGGGACTAAGGGCCCCGGCACGGCCCCGCCGCCGAAGGAGGCCGCCCCTCCTGACCGGGGAGAAAAAGGGGGTGCTGGAGGGGCACCGGCATCCGCTCCGCCCCGCGGGGACCCCGCAGCCTCCCGCCGCCGCGACCCCGTCCCCGCCAGCCGGGAGTCCAGGCCGGATTTTCCGGCAGCGCCTCGCCGGGCGGAGAGAAAACCCGGACCCGGATGAGCTGGCACGGCAGGACTGGACGGGACGGCCGGGGCTCCGGGATCGCGCCCCACGCGGGGGTCGGGCAGCGACCGCAGCCTCAGAGCCCGGCGCGGGGTGCGACCCACGGGACAGGGCTCGGGGGAACTCCTCTGTCCCCGCGGGACGTGGGTACTGCCCGCGCAGGACCCGCACCCACGGGGCAGCACCGCGGCGGGCCCGGCCCCCCCGCCGGCCGGTGACTCACGGCGCTGGCAGGGACCGGGCTCGGCGCCTCTGGGCTGGAAACTTGGACCGGCGGCGGCTGCCCACGGCCACGGGCTGACTCACAGCCCGGAGGGGTGCGGGGGGGCCCTCGCCACCGCCTCGGGGCGCCGCCGCAGCTGCCCCGCCCGGGGGGGGTGGGACACCGGACGCCCCGCACCCCCACCCGGGTCCAGCTGCCGCCGATCGTGTGTCGGGATCGCGTGTCGCGGGGGAGGCGGTGTTGGGGACACCTTCGCAGCCGCAGCCCCCTCCCCACCAGCCCTGCCCGCCCCAGCTGCCGCCGTCTGTCCGACCCACCCTGGGCACAGCGGGGGCCTTGGAGGCGCAGTCCCCACGCACGGCCCCTCACAGCACGGCTCCTTCCCAGCACGGCCCCCCGCAGCCCAGTTTCCCCATGACACTGTCCCCTACCCACCATGGGGAGCCCGGGGGGACGGCAGCAGTGACGCTCCTGCAGCACTCGGGGTCCCTAGCACCCCACCAGCCTCTTGGGGACCCCGGGGAGCCACCTCACTGCACCCCGGTCCCCCCAGCGCCCAGGGACCACTCCAGCCCACAGGGTCCCCGTGGGCTCAAGGAGGCACAGCGAGGAGCCCCCCAGCACCCTCCTCCCTCCCCAGGCAGCGAGGGGATTGCAGGTGTCCCCCACCCCATCTTTGGCCAGGCACCGGGGGGCTCAGGGGGTGCAGCCACCCCTGGGAGCAGAGGGGCTCAGGTGCCCCCACCCGCGAGAGCACAGGGGGCACCCCCAGGGCTCTGGTCGGTACCTGCGGCCGGGCTGGGCTGCGGGGGCAGCTGGGACACCCCCTGCCCTGCAGCGACGGGCTCCACGTGCCGCTCGCCCTCGTCCTTCCTGCGGTAGAGCCGGTCGCCGCCGGTGGGACGTACCCGGTGGGTGCCGGTGCCGGTGCCGGTGGTGGCACGGCGGGTGTCGGGGCGTGGGGCGGCGGGGCGCGGGACGCGCTGCAGGGAGCGCGGGACAACGTCGGGCGGCAGGCGCAGGTACTGGCGCAGGTGGGCGATGCCAGCGTCGGTCAGGTACCAGTAGAGATGTCGCCAGGCGGCCGTCTGGCGCACGAGGCCGCGGGAGTGCAGCGAGGCCATGGCGCGCCGAACCTCCACGTTGGCCACGCCGGGCAGCTGCGGGTGGGTGCGCCGGGGGCACCCGTCCCGCTCTGCCACCAGAACGCCCTCACGGAACAGCAGCTCCAGGATGGAGCGGAGCCGCTCCAGCGGCATCAGCATCCCTGCCACCATGGTGCGGGTGGCAAAGCAGAGGGCACCGCACGCGGCACAGGGGACAGGGCTCAGTAACGCCTCACCGCTGCTCAGTATGGTCCGGTGCAGCTCCGTGTGGTACAGCCCAGTACGGTGCAGTACAGCCCAGTATGGCCCAGCACAGCTCAGTATGGCCCAGCACAGCCCAGCCCAGTATGGTCCAGTACAGTCCAACACGGCTCGGTACGATCCAGCCCAGCCCAGTATGGTCCAGTTCGGCTCGGTATGGCCTGGCACAGTCCGGTACGGTCCAGTACAGCTCAGTATGGCCCGGCAGGTCCTGGCGCGATCCGGCACGGCGCGGTGCTGGCTGCCGGCACGGTCGGAACGGCGGCAGCTCCACCCCCGTTCGGGGGGGCCGGGGGGGCCCCAGGCCCAGCCCTGACTCACCACCGGCCCCTCCCCGGCCCCGGCTTCCGCCCGGGGGGGGCACGGCCGGACCCGCCCCCACTTCTCCCCCCCTGCCCCGACCCACCCGGCCGGTTCCTGCGTGGGAACCCCCGCGGCTCCCGCCCCGCCTCCGCCCCGGGACCGGCCCCGCGGAGCTCCCGGGGAGACCCTGAGCCGGGGGTGACCCTGAGCCCGGGAGGGGGACCCTGAGCCTGGGGGCAGCCCTCAGCTCGGGGGGAGACCCTGAGCCGGGAGGGGTCTCTGAACTTAGGAGGGGGCACCCTGAGCCCGGAGGGTCCCTGGGCCCGGGGGAGAGCCCTAAGCCCGGGGGCGAGCCCTGAGCCGGGGACGTGGCGCCCACGCCCCGCCCGAGCATCGCGCACCGCCGGGCTGCAGGCAGAGCAGCAGGCAGGGGTCGGGCAGGGGGACGGGCAGGTGTATTAGGCAGGGGCACAGGCAGGGCTGGGAGGCCACATCCTGCCACGTCGATGTTTGCTCTGCTCCTGCCCCTGTTTATACCGGGGGAGCAGCCCCAGGGGGACCCCACGTCGCCCCCATATCCCCCAGCAGTGACACAGCCGCGGCGGTGGCATAGCTGTGCCCCACCACGCCCCCCGAGTGGCAGGTGAGGATGAGGCAGCTGCCCCCCACAGCCACCCTCTGAGCCCCCCCGGCAAGGACAGCTGCCCAACACCCCCTCAGTGGCAACTGGCACGGCCCCTAGCACAGCAGTGGGACCCCCAAGCACCGTCGTGGGAAGAGACCGGGCATTGGGGACCCCCCACGGGCACACCCAGGCTCCGTGTGAGGGGCGGGGTGGGAGTGAGTGCCGGCACTCACACCATGGAGCAGGAGGGACTCTGGGACGAACTGAGGTGCCAGGGATCCCCCCTGCTGGAGGCTGCCCCATGCCAGGGAGATCCCAGCCCCACAGACCCCAAAAGGGGAGGAACCCCCCCAGGGCTCCCCTGGCCCAGCACACTGAGGCTGGGGCACAGGGGCACTGCAAGGCTGCAGGAGCCCTCCGGCATGGGGGGAAGGGGGGATGCTGTGGTCCTTGGGAACACCATCCCCGGCACCTCTGTCCCTGCCGATGGCACTACTAGGAGTGGCAATGGGGTGCACTGGGATTTACTGGTGGGGAGCAGTGACCCGGGCATGGCTCACCCCAGAGATGGCAGGCCACGGGGACCCCAAACCCACAGATGGGTGATGCAATCGCGCTGGCATCACGGGGGGGGGGGGGGGGGGGGGGGGGGGGGGGGGGGGCGACCACAAGGACTGGCGCAACTTCCCCATCCCCTGATCTCGGGGGCCAAAGGAAGGTGGGGGAAAAGGCCCCCCGCTGCTGAGGGCCCCCAACACCAGGTACCCCTGGTACAGCTGGTGCAGGGGCCACCCCCCAAAAAGGAACCCTCCAGAAGAGCACCAGTCACCTGCCTGAACCCCCACAAGCATGTTCAGCACCACAGAGCACCCCCCCCCAAGCCCCACGGTACCCCAGAACCCCAGCAGGGTGGAATAGATGGGGGGAGCAAGGGGGCAGCAAGAGAGGGCAGACATGGGTGGGCAGAGATGGTGCAGCAATAGGAGAGTGTTGGGGAAATGATGGGGAACAGAAATGGGGCAGTGATGGAAGGAGTGATGAGGGGCAGAGATGGGGTGAGTGATGAGGGAGTGATAGAGGGCTGAGATGGGGCAGAGATGTGGGAGTGTTCAGGGGCAGAGGTGGGGGGAGTGTTGGGGGAGTGATAGTGGGCAGCAGGAGTGTGTCCCCCCCCCAGCCATGGCCCCGCACCCCCAGCCCGCAACAGGGTCACGGCCGCGCCGGCGGCTCCCACCGGGAAGTGCCGCGTCAGCGCCCGCCGCCCGCCGTGATCCAACGCGATGTGACAGCGGGGCCATCGCCAGCATCCCGCCGCTGCCCCGCGCTGGGCAGGGCGCCGGCACCGCTCTGCACTCACCGGGGAGGAGCCCCTCGCCCTCCGCTCCGCGCTGCCAGCCCCCCCGCACCGGCCCCGCAGCTCCGCGTCCCGCCGGCGTCGCACCTCGGGGGGGGGCAGGGGGGCATCGGCTGCCGGCACTGGGGGCACCCCCCCTGCAGTCCGGTGCACGCCCCGTGCCCCTCACCCCTCCGGCCCACGGTGCCCTCGGGCAGCCCGGCGGGGGCAGCCCCCCAAATCTGGGGGGGGCAGCGGCTCCTGGCCACGGGCCCGGCACTGCCCTCCCGGTGCCAGCACCGGTGCCGGTGCCAGTGCCGGGGTCTGGCGAGGCCGCAGTGCTCCCCGTGTCCAGCGGAACAAAGCCGCGGCTGTTCGCGGAGGGCACCGCGGCCAGAGACCGGCTCTTAATGAGGCCGGGGCCGGCGGGGGTCCCGGCACTGGCGTGGGTCCCGGTGCCGGCGGGTGTCCCGGGCTCGGGCGGTTCTCACCGTAAATCAACCTCGTAGCAGCCCCGGCTCTGTGGGAGCAGACACGGCCCCGGATCCCCCCGCTGGGCCTGCGGCACCGCTGCGGCTGCCGGGCGCCACGACTCTCCCGGGGTCCATCCCATCCCAGTTCTCCCGGGGTCCATCCCCATCCTCGCCGAGTCCATCCTCACCCTCGCCGAGTCCATCCTCACCCTCGCCATCTCCCCCCCTCGCCGAGTCCATCCCCACCCTCGCCGGGGTCCTTCTCCCCCCTTGCCGGGGTCCATCCCCACCCTCGCCGGGGTCCATCTCCCCCCTCGCCGGGGTCCATCCCCACCCCCGTCGGGCTCCGTTCCAGCCCGACCCCGGCTCGGTGGCTCGCTGCGGTGCCAGGTCCCGCGGTGGCTCTCTGCCCGCTGCGGTGACACAGGGACCGGTGGCCGCCAGCAGCCCCGTGACCGGCATCCGCCGGGGCCCGTTACTCACGCCCCAGCGCCCCGGCCCTGCGGCGCGGCGTGGTAACACCGCACGGCACCCGCACGGTAACACCGCACCCGCACGGTAACACCGCACGGCACCCGCACGGTAACACGGCACGGCACCCGCACGGTAACACGGCACGGTAACACGGCACGGTAACACGGCACTGCCCCGGAGCCCGGCCTGGCGGTGCCTGGCAGGGGCACCGTGACAGCGGGTGATGCTTGTGACACCGAGTAACGCTGAGCGATGCCGGTGATGCTCCCCGTGACCCCCGCTCTCCTGTCCGCGCTGCGACACTCGCACAGGAGGGTTGCAGCGCGACTGGAGCCCCCCGGGACGCGGAGCCCTCCCCGGGACGCGGAGCCCTCCCCGGGACGCGGAACCCCCGCCGGTCCCCTTGGGCTTGGCCCCGGGACGCCCGCGGTGTCCCCCCACCCCGGTACCTTTGAGGGAGGCGATCTCGTGGTGGATGCCCCGCGCCCCCTCCATGGCCGCCCGCGCTCCCGCACGCTGCCGGCCGGTCCCGCAGCCCCGGGGCGGGACGGACCCGCCCCCCCGGCCCCGCCTCGCCCCGCCCCCTCGCCGCA